TCACCTAGCCTAACAAATTTTCCCTTGGAGCCTCCACGGTCTCCTTTTGACACTCATGTGCCTCTGCTTCCTGCAACTGGGAATATCACACCTCACTTCTCTGATGATGACTCTAATGCTTCTGTTGATATTACCAACTCTAGTGAGGATGGTGATATTGTTAGTATGCAAGCAACTAAGAATTTCCCTCCTCCCCTTGACGAGTCTAGTAGGGAGAGTGTGTATTCCAGTTGTGATGTTATTTGCAGACGTTCAGATCGCAGTACACGCGCGAAGTGCAAGAAATAATGGGGATTACAATTTTCAAACTCAATGTTCAACATTTCTTTAATAACCGTTACCCCCTTGAAGTTGAACTACACAATTACAACCTTGACGTTATCCTCCTGAATGAGACAGCTGCGGGAGTTGATCAACATATTAAATTACGTGATTACTCTACTGTGGAGAAATCGAGAGGACCCCATAGTGGCGTGGCCGTCTTAGTTAAATTAGGCTATGCGTTTCGAAATATTCACGTTGACGAAGATAACATTCTTGTAATTGAACTGACGACATCTCATGGCCAACTATTGATAGGAACTGGATATTTTCCTCCGAGACAACCATATATAGAGTCCATTCCCCTACATCGGATATTAAACAGAAATATTCCTACAATTCTGGCGGGAGATTTTAACGCCCATCACCCTGCCCTCTTTAACTGTGGAGTTGGTAATCCGCTGGGCGACTTGAAAGGAAAACAATTATTTAATATCATGACAGCCAGGAATCCGTCGTTTCAAGGCCCATTCTTTAAATCGTATGTCGGTCCTCATCCGGGGACACCAGATATAGTCTTGACTAACAGAGACTGTGACCTCTTCCATTGTCGAGTCTCTCCCGGTGGGAACGTAAGATCTGACCATATCCCTGTTATAATACAGCTTCAAACTTCTCCATTTAGAATACCTGTACTTCCTAAACCCAATCTAAACACCCTAGGATTTGACCCCTTCAGGGCTTTTCTTGGTGACGACGAAATTGTTTCGGTGGAAATTTTGCCTTCCACTGCAATTGACGAAGCGATCAGCTCCCTTCACAACCGAATACTTGATGCTACTAATGCAACTTGCCAATTAGCTTCCATAAAGATCTACCAACAATATAAACCTACTAGGGAAATTAGAGACTGTATGAGAAATTATCAAACAGAATGTCGAAGGCATCTTCAAACGCAACAACCACCAGTGGCTCTACATTGTATAGATTGAGGCAGGACTTAATTACCATGATTAGTCATCACAAACGAGACTTATGGAAATTTCTAGTTCTCAAAGCTAACCAGTATAAACGTCAGCCTGCCAAATTTTGGAGCAAGATCCTGCAACTTTTAGGGGCAAAGCACAAGGCTCCCAGTTACCTAATTCATACCTTCACTGATGATGATGAGGAGGAGGTTGAGATAAAACTTGATGATCCACAGGGCCAGGCTAATCTGATGGGTGATGTATGGGAGAAAATTCTCTTCCACAATAACAGTCGCCGATATAATAATAACCATTATTAGTTGGTCAATGAATGGAGAGATGATAACTTAGCTGATCTACAACCACTACCTTCCATCGATCCATCAACTCTTGAAGATGACCACCCTCTTACTAGATCAATTACACTACTTGAGATGAGTCAAGTTATGGGAAGAATACGATATAGAGCCCCTGGTCTCTCTGGAATAACAATGAAACAAATAAAGTTCCTACCCAGAAATTGTAAACAGTCTTTGGTCAATATCTTTAATGTTATCTTGGCCTCCGGACATTTTTCAATGGTTTTTTAGACTGCGAGGATGATCTTTATTGCTAAACCCCACAAAGGCATCCACCAACCTGGGAACTATAGACCTATATCCTTACTTGAAGTCACTGGCAAAGTTCTTGACAAGATCATTTCCAATAGATTGAACTATTACATAGAGGTTAATCACCTCTTTACTGAAAAACAGTTCGGCTTTAGGGCTCATAGAGGCACCCATCATGCAATAATATTATTTTTGATGTTGTAGCGAACCTGAAACATCAGGGCAATCTTGCCCTAATTGCCACCAGGGATGTTCATAAAGCTTTTGATAGCTTATGATATGATGGTCTTATATATAAACTTGTTGATCTACCTGACCATAACTGGACCTTTCTCAGATTTATATATAACTTCTTTACTCAAAGAAAAATCATTCCTACTTTTCACGGCAGGTCGACAGAGCCTTTTATACCTACAGCTGGTGTCCCGCTATTTAACATTTATGTAAATGATCTTCCTCAACCTGAGTTCAGTGATACAATTATAACGTAATTTGCAGATGATGTTATCTATGTCGTCTCATCAACCCCTGTAACAGGGAAATATAAGTATGAGAGGGCCATAGAAAAAATGAATGTTGAACTTCGCCGAACATCTAATTGGGAAAAGAAATGGAGAATTACGACCAACCCTGACAAAGTCCTTATTAGTACGATAGGATGTTTTGCAACAACCATCGAAGACATCTCACGTCAGTAAAAAGATCAACATAGCGAAAGCCTGTCTTAGCAGTCTCTATAGATTTAATCAAGCCCCTTCCCACGTCAAAAAACATCTGTATAAAATGATGATAAGAACTATACCAGAATACCCTTGTGTCCCAATGTCGTTAACAACAAAGACCAACATGCTACGGTGGCAACAGGTCCAGAATAGAGCTCTCCGCTTTATTACGGAATCAGAATGGCAGATTTACACATCCAACAGGATACTGCTGCCTTAAACTTACCCCTTGATATGCTGAAAAAGAGGCAACTCTATGCAATGCAAGAACTCTATATACCAGATAGAGAACGTCCTCCCCAAGTTGAAAATACTACCGACTATATCATTAACACTCTTCCCCACAGAACCCAAGGAATGACTCTTTCACAGAGGCTGCGTCACTTCATTCATAAAGACGATTACCAACGACCAATGATCCTGAGCAACCTCCCTGCAGATGATGATGACTGGGTAACACCAGAGCCCTTCTATGTCTACTAAGAATATTATCGCCCCTAATTATGGAGATATCTTATAAAACTTTTCTACTTTCACATCTACTATTAATTTCGCTATATTTACTATGGCGGGACACCACCTTGAAAGAAGCTAATATGCCCAGTAATTTTACATAAATCGTTTATATAATTATCGCCTTGCCTTGTCGTCGAAATATTCGTTATGCAATCGCAAAAAAAAAACACGCAATTGCAACTTGTATATCTATTACCGACTCAGAGTCATGTATCTATATATTTGTTATATGTATGTGACTCTGATGGGTAAGTGTTATACCCCTTTCATTAATTACCTGTTATTACACATACACATTTCAAATTGCACCATAGTGGTTGAGCCACTTCCCTTTTATATCCTACCTCTCTTCCCTCTCCCACCCTTTTCCCATATTTCTATCCTTACCCATCCTTCTTCCTTACCCTTCTTACCAAAGCTCTGGTCCTAAGTTCAAGTTCAAGTTCATACTCTCAGAAACGATATCTCACACTTTACCCTAGAGCCTCCGGAATCTCCATTTCCTTGAGGAAGAATGTGCATACATCACTCGTGCTATCGGTTCACTACAGTTCTCCTCACACTTTCTATGGGATTTCATGCCACAGCAATATTTTACTGAACAAACACGTCAGCCGAGGTAGGTGCCAGTTTCATTGTTTTCCTGGTGACCAAACTATTTAACAACCAGCCCATCAGTATAGCCACCATCTGTTCCTCTTCAGTCAAAAACTTGGTGCAAAAGCACAAGTGAGAACCTTTGATCAACTCAGGAGTGTACATAATACCATGTGGTGGATGCGATAAGAAATATGTGGGAGAAACTGCTTGGTTAAGTTTGCGAACACAGAAACGCCAGTGGAAGGAATAACTACAACAACGGCCGTGTACAACACAGGAATAAATGTGGGCACTTAATGAAGTTTATTAATGAAATATAACTAGTCATCTACGAAAACGATCGACAGAGGCGAAAGTTGCTGGAGGCTGCCTTGATTGCCACAGCCAACACAACGCCACAAAGGTCTGGTTGGCTAAAAGACTGTTATCCATGTTGAAAGGTATAGAGCAGATGCACCAGCCCATACTATGCAGCTGCTGCTCAAATCCAACCCTCTCTCAGTTACATACATTTGTCCAACATATTTTCTGCAATTTGACGTTCCTTCTGCCTCACTTCACCTTTGTTTCTGGTCACCTGCGCTGTTCACTATATATTAACCTGTTTGAGTTTACTCTGTATTAGGACTGATGAAGACACTCGGGGCGAAATGTTTCTATTAATAAACTTCGTGAACTCTATTTTAGGGATTAAAATATTCATGTCTGGTGGCGAAAAGGTTATCGTGCAGCCTAGTGTAGTCGATAAGATTTCAACCCCATTAACCAACCATTAACCAGTTGCTGTAGCGCAGCTATACCTTTCATTTGAAACCTAATGGATATTAATTTCAGTCATAACTAAAATATCCAGTACGCTTTTATTTTGCTCACTGAACAATGTAACTGCCATTTATGATTTATTTGTTTCTGGCAATAAATACATTTTGTTTATGGTGGTGGTGAGACAATAGACCAGCCCTGGGGCCTGATGAAGTGCTGGTAGCCTGCTTGTCTGGCCTCGCCTCTATTGATATTCAAGTGTTTCCTGGGCTGATGGAACAGGTGTCAGTATAGGTTCCCTGAGCTGACAGAGCAAGTGTCAACGTGTTCCCAGGGCCGATGGAACAGGTGTCAGCATGTGTTCCCTGAACTGATGGAGCATATGTTTCCTGTGCTGGAGGAAGAGGTGTCAGCATGTACTAGAGGAACAGATGTCAGTATTGATTGGAGGAAAAGGTGTCAGCATGGAGTGAAGGAACAGCTGCCATATGAATGCAACTGTGGGAATTTTGATTCACCCTTGGGCACCTCTGATTCACCCATGGGCACCTCTGACTCACCTGTGGGCATTTTGTCCCTGAAGGAGGTGGACTCAGAGCAGACAGTGAGAAGCGTAGTGACTCCGAGAGTCACTCTGGAGGGTATAGCGTCCACGTCAAGCCAGAAGCTGACCCACGACACCACTACGATGAGTGAGGTTGGCAGGTAGGACTGAACTAGGTGGTAACCTATGTTACGACGCAGATCAAACACAGCCTGAAGGCAGCTGTAGTTCCCTGCCAGATTATTATTATTATTATTATTATTATTATTATTATTATTATTATTATTATTATTATTATTATTATTATTATTATTTATTACTATTATTATATTCATGGGAGCACTAAACCCGTTGGGGTCACACAGAGCCAGAGAAATGGGAGGTAATCAGGTTTGATTGAACACAGACCAGTGTTCACCCAGTGACACAGACCAGTGTTCACCCAGTGACACAGACCAGTGTTCACCCAGTAACACAGACCAGTGTTCACTCAGTGACAAAGACCAGTGTTCACTCAGTGACAAAGACCAGTGTTCACTCAGTGACAGACCAGTGTTCACTCAGTGAAACAGACCAGCGTTCACTCAGTGACACAGATCAGCGTTCACTCAGTGACACATACCAGTGTTGACTCAGTGACACAGACCAGTGTTGACTCAGTGACACAGACCAGTGTTGACTCAGTGACACAGACCAGTGTTGACTCAGTGACACAGACCAGTGTTCACTCAGTGACACAGACCAGTGTTTACTCAGCTCCCTCAATGGCAACTCATTCTCTTTTCAAGCCATTAATTCGCAATTTATTTTAATATTAATTTCAATAGATGAAAGAAATCGGAAGTTAAAAAATCATTATGGATTTCATTATCATCTTCAAATCTACTGGAAGTTCATTACTTCCAGCTGCGCGAAATAAACACAGTAATTAAAATAACGACTACTGTTAAAAGAGTTGTCATAAACTATGATAATAAAGGATTTATTGAGCAGTTCAGAGAGAAGTTACGTTATAACTGTACCATAGCTGAAACAAGCCTCGTTAGGAAATATATGTTAAGGGTACTTAAATACCGATAAATTAGACACATGTGCAACACTTGGGTGTCTTTACTGCGAAAACTTTTCGCCACACAGTGGCTTCATCAGTCAAATACAAAGACGAATGGTGAAGACCAGAAGGAGTTTGAGGTGATCAGTCCCTCAGCTTGGAGTCGATGTAATCAGTCCATGAATCTTGATAAGAATGCAGCATATGCGCAAAGAAGAGACATATACTGTAGACAGGTGACGTGAAACAGTCGTAGGTGGTGTCATCTTCAACATTTCCACAATATAAATACCCAAGTGTTGGACATGTGTCTAATTTATCAACCTGTCTGTTCTGTGAACCATTTATCAACATATTTAAATACTGCAGGATGAGTATTGGTACCAGGGCACCAGGACTCACCAATATGGAAGGACTGGTTGCAGGTGTCTACTCGTATCTCCTTTATCTCAAACTGGGGCAGTTTGAGTCTCTTGTACATCTTGATTGGTAAATGCTCGTACCACACCAGCTCCAACTCCCGCGTGGTCTTGACGACTGGGTAGTGATGGTAAGCGACAACCCGAGAACGACAGTTCCCAAAAGAGTCAGTGGTAAAAAAAAAAAATACTCACCCAGCTCAGTATCAGAGTGATAGTACACAGATGAAAAGTAGCAAGAGGAATAGATTCAGAAAGTAGCCCATCTAGGGCAGTGTCAGTTTGACAGTGCCCACTTGAGAGAGCCTCCCAGAGGTAAACAAAATAGCGGGGAAGTGATAGAGGATAAGAGAAAACAATGTGAGCTTAAAAGATGGTGCGGAAAAAATAATGAAAAAAAAAATGGAAAAATTCAGTTAAATAAAAGTTATGAACTCAATAAAGAATAATAAGATAGGCAGCAACGTTCAGTGTTTAAAAATAAACTTAAAAAATAAGCCAAAAACCACAACATTTCTTGAAATTAAGAGATTCAGGTTTGAATACATATACACATACAGATCTTTATACATAGGCATAATGTATTGGTATGGTTTGATTGACACATAAATGATATTAATGGATTCTATTCTCCAAAGACACTTATTTGCATACTTAACAGCGAGTGACATTGCACACTGCGAGTCACGTCTGTAGCGTAGGTCATCTCTGCTCACTTGTTTTATGTAACATAACTAGATCATGTGTATTCATTCTTATATTCAATCATATATGCCATGTATTATTTGTATGTCAATTATACATACATACTGTCACTGTCATAAGAGGCAGTCATACTTGACCTTTTCTCTTCACCTTTAATCCATTCTTTTTGTAGTTTTTACTTATGGTTAATATACTTTGTTTCATTTGGGATTATACTGTTCTGGCTCTATATTTTCTTGTGTGGCAGTGGCAGCCCAGGTCTATTTCTTACCTGATTTTTTTTCTTATATTTTTATGTATCCTATTTATTCTCTATCTTTGGCTCCTATATTGCATATCTAAACCCTTAGCGAGTTCAAACTTTTATTCCCACTATATTCTCGGCATGTGGCGGAAGAACAAATATATTTCTCCTTGCTATATTAGTGTCATTGGGAGGGATAACTAAGTGTGGTCTTGCTGCAGGTCCCCTGAACAATGAACACTGTGCGAATGTAAGTGAAGTAACAGTTTATGTTGTTGGAAATACATGTACGAGGAAAGGGAATTGAAACTATAGGAACAATGCCTGATTTCTACCAGCATGCGGTGTGTGAATCGCCACAATTTCTCAGTCAGCTATAAAAGAAAAGATTGGACAGCTTAATGTCTCTTCTCGTTCAGTGGGCATACGATTAACCTTCCATTATTCCTCGAACTGAATTCAGCTACTGGAACCAAAGTCCCATGTGTGTGTGTTTGTGTGTGTGTGTGTTTGTGTGTGTGTGTTTGTGTTTGTGTGTGTGTGTGTGTGTGTGTGTTTGTGTGTGTGTGTTTGTGTGTGTGTGTTTGTGTGTGTGTGTTTGTGTGTATAAGTGATATTTGTTATTTAGATTGCAGACTCCAAGAAGAAGGTCAAGTTTAGTTTGTTATACCACATAAAAACATAAGAAAGGGGAGCACTTTAGCAGGCCAGTTAGCCTATACTAGGCAGGTCCTTCACAATCCAACCCACTAATAGAATATTTGCCCAACTCAATTAATTTTATCATTCGTCCCTGAATGTTTTCTAACGAATTTATATCCATTCTGTAAAATGGAGACCAGAACTGAGCCGCATAATCTAGGTGAGACCTTATTAATGATGTATAAAGCTGAAGTATGACCTCTGGACTTTGTTGCTTACACTTCTTGATATAAATCCCAGCAATCTATTTGCCTTATTACGCACGCTTAGGCACTGCTGTCTTGGTTTAAGGTTACTGGCAGTCTTCAAGCCGGCACTGGACAAGCACCTAAAGTCGGTTCCTGACCAGCCGGGCTGTGGCTCGTACGTTGGTTTGCGTGCAGCCAGCAGCAACAACCTGGTTGATCAGGCTCTGATCCACCAGGAGGCCTGGTCACAGACCGGCCCGCGGGGGCGTTGACCCCCGGAACTCTCTCCAGGTAAACCCCCAAATCCTTTTCGCATTCTATACGGCTAAGTTCAACATTATTAAGCTGGTAGGTGCAAGGGTTATGAACATTTCCGAGCTTTAAAACTTTACATTTATCTACACTGAACTGCATCTGCCACTTTTCTGACCACGAATTGAGTTTGTCTAAATCCTCCTGAAGTTCCGAGACATCAACGTCTGAATCGATTATCCTACCTGTCTTCGTGTCATCAGCAAATTTGCTTATGTCACTAGTAATTCCCTCGTCAAGGTCATTTATATATATTATAAACAACAATGGGCCTAAAACTGATCCCTGCGGAACGCCACTTGTTACAGATCCCCACTCAGATTTAACCCCATTTATACACACTCCCTGCTTCCTATTAGTGAGCCATGGCTCGATCCATGACAGCACTTTTCCCCCAGTGCCACGAGCTGCCACTTTCTTCAACAGTCTCTGATGTGGTACTGTATCAAAAGCCTTACCAAAATCTAAATAAACAATATCGAATTCTTTATCCTGATCAACGGCCTCAAAAGCTTTGCTAAAGAAGGTTAATAAATTAATTAGGTAGGAACGGCCCCTGGTGCATCCATGTTGAGTATTATTAATCAAATTATGTCTGTCGAGATGGCTTCTTATAGTATCAGCTATAATTGACTCTAGTAATTTGCCTACAATTGAGGTTAGGCTTATTGGGGGGTAATTTGAGGGTAACGACTTGTCCCTTGCTTTAAAAATAGGAATTACAGTAGCCATCTTCCACATATCAGACACTACACCTGTTTGAAAGAGGTAAATTAAAAATATTACTTAAAGGTTCATACAGTTCCATTTTGCATTCCTTAAGAACCCTTGAAAAAGCTCATCAGGACCGGGAGATTTATTTGGGTTCAAATGGTCTATCTGTTTGATAACCATTTCGCTAGTGACTGTGATATTACATAATTTATCTTCTTCTGACCCACTAAAAAACCTAAGAAACGGGACATGACACTCGTTACGTAGTGGAGCAACACTCTTACATCGAGTAAGGAACCACTGAAGAAAATAACAAAAATGAATCACATAAGATTATTGAAAATGCTTATTATAACTAACAGTTATAAGATGTAATACATGTACGGCTCCCGTGAGCACCACTGTTGTAGAAAGCGAATACGAGTGAGAAACTACAAGAGTTTCCATAGCATAAAGCTAAATACAAACAATATAATATACTGTCAAACCACGGTAGGGGTGGGGATCGAACTCACGGAAAGTGAGTTGTAAATCACCAGGTCAGCGCTTAAGCCACTGGGCCAGCTGAGTTCGAGCACCACCCGTACCGTGGTTTGTTTGCAATCGTGTCATCGCGATTTTATGAGTTATAATATATTATTACTGATCCTCGGTATTTAACCTAACGTGGCCTAAAATAAATAATATTTTATTTAGGTTTCTACTCAGATCATATAGAAATTTGCACATTGTTTAATGTAAAATTATGGAGCTCATTGGAGACCTGGCTGAATACTCACAGCTGGCGATCTGAATGTAGCAAGTCTGGTGGTCCAGGGGAAAACTGGAGAGGTCCATCATGCACGAGAAGGTCAGCTTCAACCTGATGGACGAGACCAAATATATAACTTCCTCATTAAGTATCTCTAAGAGAAACGGTCAACTGCTCAATGTACAGCTGATGAGAAACACACGCAGTCGGACCCGAGGCGAGTCTTTGTCTGGGAGACATTCTCTTCGAGCAGCCAAACCATTTTTTAGTAACTACGCATCCGCCCCCAGGATAACCCTTAGGAGTGAAGGAAGCTAATGATTTTGTGATATTAAGGTAGTAACTAATTCAATAATGAAGAAGAACCAATGAGCAGAACATCATATGAAGACCCGTGTCAAGTGAATATTATCACCTGACACTGGTCAGGAGGTTTTCAATGCATATATTTTTCATTTGATAATGAAAGTGGATAACTTCAGTTAGACAGATTTGGAGGTGCACAATATGATGACCAATTGTTGAATATCATTACTTTGGTTATAACCCATAATTTTCCGATGAATCTGGCATCAGAGAATCTGGCATCAGAGAATCTGGCATCAGAGAATCTGGCATCAGAGAATCTGGCATCAGAGAATCGGGCATCGATGAATCTGACATCGAAGAATTCTGCCTCGAAGGATCCTTCTTCGAAGAATTTGGCCTCAAAAACTCTGGCCTCGAAAATTTTGATCTCGAAGAATCTGACATCGATAAATATGGCCTCGAAGAATCTGACACTGAAGAAATTGGCCTCGAAGAATCTGGACTCGGAAGCTCTGGCCTCGAAAAATATGGCCTCGAAGCATTTATTTTCGAGCAACCAATTTTCAATTCATTAATCGTAACTAATTTTTACATATTTTTTTGGCTTATAAATATTATTAATAAAAATAATCTAAAATTGTGCTAGGTGCTTGCTATATATAGAAGTAACATGTATGTTAGACAACTTGAAGAAAACTTTACCAGCTGAAGTTTTTGTATTGTTAACCCAAAACTGAATTAGTTACCCCTAAATTAACCACTTATGATGTAAGATAAAGCAAAAATAAACTGATTGTATTTCCAGACGTAATTTCAGGTGTATTTGATGTATAATGCTAGATTTAAAAAAATGGATTTTGTATGGATACAACACAATTTTGACATTGCAGGGAATGAGAGGATTGAGTTGTTAGAATCAAAGGGAAAGTGACTCCCGACACTTTCCAGCCTGGCTGGTACCTGCTGCCTCCTAAGTTCTGTTTCTCTCGGTACTCTATTCCGGATTCTCATCCCTTCAAAGTTCCCTCCGCCTGCTATTCCTCCCTCAACGTATAATTCTACAAAGTATTCAGTATTCAGTACTACTATGGATAGTGTAAAAATGCTGCAGCCAATTACAGCAGGAATATTATTGAGAATTTGGAGGCTAAATTTTAGATTCAGGTTACATGTAGCTGTATATGTGACAGGTTTGTGTAGCAACTACAAGACTGACATTTTTTTTTAAATCAGAGCGAAAGCGCTGAACCCATAGGGGTTAATGAGCTCCTGGGGAATGAAAAGTAATTAGGTTCGATCCAATGAAGGTAAGAATAAATCCAGTTCCGTGGATTATATGCCTTTCACAGGCATAAACCACCTTCCTTGAGAGGACAAGAAATGAGAGGCGTTGTATATTATGTTGTCGAATGTCACAAAATATAGGAATACAGCGCCTGCGCTTTGAAGGAGTTGAGGGGATATTGCAAGACAGTGATGGAGTGAGTGATGGTGAAAGTGTTATGTCTTTTTACTGGTTACCCTACCTTAGTGGGAGATGGTCCGTGTGGTAAATGCAAATTGCGATTTGACGCCGTCCAATACTTTCATTATGGCAGAATGTTACTGCCCAATACTGTCCTTACGCAGAATGTTACTGGCCATCACATTCTGAATACGGTCATGCCTAATGTTAACAGCCAGATGGAGAGGTAAACTAACCATCGTTGCGGCTGTTGTCAGTGTGCATTTATAACATTTCCAGTTGTCTGCATATTATTTAAAGTAACATAAGAGGACTTGTAATAAATACCATTCTTCCTTCTGGACAAACATATGGACTCGATAGGGGACTAACTCGACCATCGCTGACGGCAGACCAGCATCAAGAAGCTATGATGTACTGTCACCAGTGACGGCAGATCAGCATCAAGAAGCTAGGATGTACTGTCACCAGTGACGGCAGATCAGCATCAAGAAGCTATGATGTACTGTCACCAGTGACGGCAGATCAGCATCATGAAGCTATGATGTACTGTCACCAGTGACGGCAGATCAGCATCAAGAAGCTATGATGTACTGTCACCAGTGACGGCAGATCAGCATCTAGAAGCTAGGATTTACTGCCACAGTGACGGCAGTCAGCATCAAGAAGCTTGATGTACTGCCATCAGTGACGGCAGACCAGCATCAAGAAGCTATGATGTACTGTCACCAGTGACGGCAGATCAGCATCAAGAAGCTATGATGTACTGTCACCAGTGACGGCAGATCAGCATCATGAAGCTATGATGTACTGTCACCAGTGACGGCAGATCAGCATCAAGAAGCTATGATGTACTGTCACCAGTGACGGCAGATCAGCATCAAGAAGCTATGATGTACTGTCACCAGTGACGGTAGACCAGCATCAAGAAGCTATGATGTACTGTCACCAGTGACGGCAGACCAGCATCAAGAAGAAACTATCTTATGCGGCAACTTTTAACAGCAGATCAGCACGAATAGAAAATTGTGAAAATAAATGGTATAAAATACCGACACAATGGAAACATAAACACATATGCAGTTTAATGTGATCCTTTACTGACAACGTTTCGCCAACACAGTGGGCTTTTTCAAGTCACAAACAGATCTCTGTGGGCGAAACGTTGTCAATAAAGGATCACATTAAACTGCATATGTGTTTATGTTTCCAGAAAATTGTGAACTTGTACGGTGACAACAACGCATCTTGCAACATAGTTTGCGGGGTATAGCATGGCTGACCTAGACACATTGAAGAATTAATAACAATTCGTGGTTGCCATATGAATATTCATTTCTACGACGATGGACAAGATGCATGAATATATAATGAGTAAACAGAAGAACCGACCAGGACTCGAACCGTGATCCATGCGGGTAGCAGGCCCAATGCTGTAACCATTCAGGCTGAGATATGTTGATATAACATGGCTGAGATATGTTGATATAACATGGCTGAGATATGTTGATATAACATGGCTGAGATATGTTGATATAACATGGCTGAGATATGTTGATATAACATGGCTGAGATATGAACATCAAAATGGTATACAATACCGACAGGTTGTAAGGTAAGACACATATGCAACAGTTAGACAACTTTATTCCGAAACGTTTCGCCTACACAGTAGGCTTCTTCAGTCGAATACAGAAAGTAGGCAGGAACAGTAGAGATGTGAAGACGATGTAATCAGTCCATCACCCTTGAAGTCGTAGAATTTGAGGTTGTCAGTCCCTCAGCCTGGAGCAGTTCAGTTCCATAGTCAGGAACTATCTGAAGATCAAGCGACAGTGCAGAGACTTAAATACTGTCGGAAGGAGAGGTGCAGGGTAGTAGTAGTAGTGAAAATGTAGCCAGTGAGAGGTCATGTCCCTCTCAGATCCAACCCTTTTTCACTTGAAAAGTTTGTCCAAGGTGTTTTCTGTACCAAGATGCCATGTGTTGCAGTGTCTGACAGGATGAACATCAAAATGGTATACAATACCGACAGGTTGTTAGGTAAGACACATATGCAACAGTTAGACAACTTTATTCCGAAACGTTTCGCCTACACAGTAGGCTTCTTCAGTCGAATACAGAAAGTAGGCAGGAACAGTAGAGATGTGAAGACGATGTAATCAGTCCATCACCCTTGAAGTCGTAGAATTTGAGGTTGTCAGTCCCTCAGCCTGGAGCAGTTCAGTTCCATAGTCAGGAACTATCTGAAGATCAAGCGACAGTGCAGAGACTTAAATACTGTCGGAAGGAGAGGTGCAGAGTAGTAGTAGTAGTGAAAATGTAGCCAGTGAGAGGTCATGTCCCTCTCAGATCCAACCCTTTTTCACTTGAAAAGCTTGTCCAAGGTGTTTTCTGTACCAAGATGCCATGTGTTGCAGTGTCTGACAGGATGAACATCAAAATGGTATACAATACCGACAGGTTGTTAGGCGAAACGTTTCGGAATAAAGTTGTCTAACTGTTGCATATGTGTCTTACCTAACAACCTGTCGGTATTGTATACCATTTTGATGTTCATCCTGTCAGACACTGCAACACATGGCATCTTGGTACAGAAAACACCTTGGACAAACTTTTCAAGTGAAAAAGGGTTGGATCTGAGAGGGACATGACCTCTCACTGGCTACATTTTCACTACTACTACTACCCTGCACCTCTCCTTCCGACAGTATTTAAGTCTCTGCACTGTCGCTTGATCTTCAGATAGTTCCTGACTATGGAACTGAACTGCTCCAGGCTGAGGGACTGACAACCTCAAATTCTACGACTTCAAGGGCGATGGACTGATTACATCGTCTTCACATCTCTACTGTTCCTGCCTACTTTCTGTATTCGACTGAAGAAGCCTACTGTGTAGGCGAAACGTTTCGGAATAAAGTTGTCTAACTGTTGCATATGTGTCTTACCTAACAACATGGCTGAGATATGTTGATATAACATGGCTGAGATATGTTGATATAACATGGCTGAGATATATTGATATAACATGGCTGAGATATGTTGATATAACATGGCTGAAAATATTTTTGTTTAAACATGGCTGAGATATTTTTGATATAACATGGCTGAGATATGTTGATATAACAGGGTTGAGATATGTTGTATAACAGGCTGAGATATGTTGATATAACATGGCTGAGATATGTTGATATAACATGGCTGAGATATATTGATAAAAACTGGCTGAGATATGTTGATATAACAAGGTTGGGGTTTATGTTGATAATAACAGGGTTTGAGATATTTTGGGATATAAACATGGCGAGATATGTTGATATAACATGGTTGAGATATG